ACGTGTCTCCCCCCCCCCCCCTTTTTTTTTTTTTTTTTTTTTGAGAGGTGTTTGCTATAGGGTGCGTGTGCTCGCCAGACAGAGAGAGACAGAGAGATAGAAAGCGAGAAATCACCCCCCAGGGGATGGCCACGCCACAATCCCTTCTCCTCCATTCTCCTCTCGGGATCTTGGGCACGCACGCACACGCGCCCGGCGTGAGTTTAAGCCACCGGGTCCGGGACTTGAACCACGGTCAACTACGTGGGAGTCCAGTGACATAGCCATTACACTAACTGCTGGTCCCACCTCTCTCCCACTCTTCGACACACACACATACGCGGCTGCCTCGCTGGGCTTCAACTAGAACAGTTGCTGGCAGGATTAAATGAAATCATGTACTAACTGCCTGGCACGTAGTAGGTGTTTAAACTACGGGTAGTTTCTTTTGCCACTTCTCCTCCACTCATAGCAGGTGTCTTCCATACAATCTCCTAAACAACAGTATCACATTTCTGCTAGAGTTCAGTTCCCACTCATAAAAATGAAACCTACCTCCCCAAACAGGTACAAGCCCAGTGGAACCCCAGAGTTTATTTCAACTGTTAATAAAACGGATGTCTTGTTCCCAGACTTGGTACAAACACAACCAGATGGTATCAGCCCTGCCCAATTAACTCTAATCAGGCAAGATTTTACAGTTGAATGCAGCGGGATCAAAACAAAGTCATAAAAGTTGGACTCTGCCTGGGGTTCAAAGGGACCCTGTTGCTTTCCATTTAGGTACTCAGGAGTCCTGAAGTCCTTTTGTCTAAACAAAAAGGATGCTCCTACCCTGGGTATCTGGGTGATGCAGCCCAGGTTGTCCCCCACAAGCAGCTGAGCTCACCAAGGCTGTTCTAGAGAGGGCACTGGATATGGTTATTTAATGGTGGGAAGGTGACAAAGCATGGGGGAGTCTTCAAAAAGGACATGCAAATGGAACTCAAGTATGAGCTTATTTTGGTGCAAGAAAAATGTGAAACCCACAGTTTTTTTCATAACATTCACTTTCCACAAACTTTGTGAAGAGCCCCCTCCTAAGTCTCATTTAGGAGACAACAGCTTCTTCTGGGCTGGCTTTCTACATGCTTTGCTCTATCCCCACTGGAAGCGTCATCCCTAGTTGCAGCTGACCTCACCGCAGGTCAGAGGACCACCTACGAAAACTGACCTGCTCTAGACCACCCACCTCCTGCATGTAACTTAACACATGGCCACAGTGCACAGGAAGGGGCCAGGCCCAGTTAGCTCTCGGCAGGCAGGAAGGAGGAGAGCTGCTCCACCAGGAGTACACGGCCACAGGTGCTTTCCAGCGACTGCCTATTTCCTGCTGTTGCCTCGTCTTCAGAGTCCGGAATTGGAGTTCATAATCAAGATACTTTTCTGTCTAGAATGGTGGCGTGAGGCAGAAAGGATGAGAAGAGATTGCATCTATGACAGTGTTTTTCTTCTCTTAGCCTGATGAGGATGTGCTCTTTACAAACATCTGAACAATACGAGAGGGTTCTAAAGTCCAAAGTGAAAGATTCACTTACCCACCTCCTCCCTCCCTCCCCACAGGGGCAACCACTGTGAACAAGCTGCAGCGTGTGCATTTTATGAAAACTTGAGTAAGAACCATATTGCTCTGTGATTTGCTCGCTTCACTAACGCTACCCCGTGGTCATCTTTCCTGATCTGCAGATGAAGTTCACCTTTCCTCTTCTCAGGGCCACTTGTAACAGGATGACCTACCAGCATTTGTCTGTCCATGCTGCCTACTGATGGGACTTCCAGGTGGCTTGTTTCTGCTATTAGAAATATTGTAGTGAACACCCTCATAGGTGTGCTTGGGTATTTACATTAGACTATTGCTATAAACAGAGTATTTATGTCCCCCACCCCAAAGTTCATATACTAAAACCTAATCCCCTGGGACCAGCAGTTGGTGTAATGGTTATGTTGCTGGACTCCCATGTAGTCGACTGCAGGCCGAGTACAGAACACTGTGGCTTAAACTCATGCCAGGTGTGTGTGTGTGTGCATGCCCAAGATCCTGAAAGGAGAATGAAGGGATTGCAGTGTGGCCATTCCCCCGAGGGGTGATTTCTCACTTTCTGTCTTTCTCTGTACTTCTGTAGAGCACATGTGCCCTATAGCAAAAATCTCTCCAAAAAAAAAACCCAAAAAACAAAAAACCTAATCCCCAGTGTGTTGGTATTTGGAGGGAAGCATTTGGGGGACGATTTGGTCATAAAGGATGACACCTCATGAATGGGATTAGTGCCCTTTTCAGAGACCCCCAGAAAGCTCCTTCACCCCTTCTGCCATGTGAGGATGCAGCATGGCCATTTATGAACCAGGAAGTGGACCCTCACCAGACACCGGCACTTTCGTCCTAGACTTCCCAGCCACCAGAACTATAAACAAATGTGTGCTGTCTGAGTGACCTCAGCCTACTGGCATTTTTGTTATGGCAGCCAGAATGTACTCAGACAATTATTATTTTGGAATCATTATTTAAAGGACAATATAGCTACCACCCAAATCTAAAAACCACTTCCATTTTCTGAGAAGCTGCTTTACTATCCATTAGGAGATTCTCAAAACTTGGGTGCCTCCCTGGCTTTTGACAGGAAGTGGATGAATATGGAAGACTTACTGCTGAGTGAAGCAAGCCATGCTACGAAGGAGAGGCATTGTATGTCCCCACTTAATATATACCGAGCGTCTGCACCCTATGACTGAAACTAATTGTCTAAAGGATATAGAAACGCAGTATATAGATGTAAGTACCAGATATAGTGTGTGTGAAAGAGGAGGGTCTGAGGAAGGACATTTGGGGGAGAGACAGGGAGGAAAAGCATTAATGGCACAAAGAGGTGTGGTATTATCTGTTGAAGATGTTTCGTGGTTTTATCGACGGTGCTGGGGAGAGGTGTTCACCTGCTGAAATATCCATTTTGTAAGATAAATAATGTGATTGAATGTATGGAAGAAAATGAAATGAAAAATAAAAAATAGTAATAATAATAATAAAAAAACTTGGGGTGCCTCAGCCCTAGCTGGGAAGCATGAACATGCAGATGACCAAGACCTACCTGACTCTACAAGGGGCTAAGCACCGAACCGGGACTTCCAGTTTTTGCTGACTTGGCCTTGTGAACAGCTCCCAGGTGCTGCCTCCTGGTGTAGCACAGAAGCTCTAGCCCCTTTCTTTCTGTCACATGGCGATCTGAGCTCGGGCACAACATGGCATGATACGCTTGGTCTGTGTGCCCTCTGCTGGCCCTGCATGAGCAAGCCACATGCTGATGCCTCCACTGGTGGGCATCTGGGTTCCCACCTCCCAGTACCAGCCCCCCCACATCCCAGGCTCACTGCTGTGGTGATACTCAAGGCAGCGAGGGTCACCCCTGGCTGCACAGAAATCAAATTGGGAGCCTTGAATACTGCAATGCCTGGTGATAATCTGGGAATGGGATCAAGCCACCAGGTCTGGGACTTGAACCACAGTCGGCAATGTGAGAGTCCAGCGCCCTTAACCACCACGCAACCTGCTGGCCCCCAGTAATGCTGTTTTTAATGCTGTTTTTCAGTATGTATCCAAAATAACTGAGAGAAAGCAAACACTTGTATACCAATGTTCATAGCAGCATTATTCATTACAGTCAAAAGGTGAACATGACCCCAGTGTTCATCAACAGATGGAAAAACATAATGTGATTTATGCATACATCATTCAGATATGAAAAATGAATCAAGTTCTGACAAATTACAAGTGCACCTTGAAAACATTAAGCAAAGTCAAAGCAATCAGATACAAAGGACACATGTTATATAATCCCATTTCTATGAAATGTCCAGAACAGGCAAATCCAGAAAGATGAAAAGCAGGTTGGCTATTGCCAAGAGCTGGAGGAAAGACGAGCATGGGGAATTGCTGTTTCACAATTACAGAACTTCTGTTTGGGATGATGAAAACATTCTCAAAGTGGATAGTGATGATGGTTGTATAACACTGTAAGCATACTTAATATCCCTCAGTTAAACACTTAAAATTGGCTGGGAAAGCAGATGGCAAAATGGTTATGTCATTGGACTCCCACGTAGTTGACCATGGTTCAAGCCCCGGACTTGGCGGCTTAAAACACAGCTGGGTGTGTGTATGTGCATGCCCAAGATCCCAGGGGGGAGAACAGAGAAGGGACTGCAGTGTGGCCATCCTCCTTAAAGGAGTAATTTCTCACTTTCTGTCTCTCTCTCCCATAAGCACATGTGTCCTACAGCAAATACTTCTCAAAAAAAAAATTGCTTAACAGAAGACTAGAAAGTTATACAGTATGTGTAATTTACTTTTTGAATGCCAAATTTTAAAACCACCCACTTCACTGTTACAATTTATTTAACAAACATGTATTATTAATTCTACTGGGCAATGCATATAACCAGCTTTAGTTTATAAGAAATACACCAGCAAACAATCCAAGTGATTTTATTACAGTGCAGTCTTCCAATGTGGGAGCCCCTATACTTCTGGATGGTGAACAGAATTTTGACTGGGCTCTTGTGCTCATGGAGAGTATCCCTGCCTCAGTCGGTGTGTGTGTGGTAGGAGGGAAAGTAGAGAATACCACTCTAGGATTCCAGACACAGCACAGGACTCTGAAAATCTCTGACTACCTGAAACCTCCCTATAAGCCTTTCGCTATGCCGTGATCTCTGACCAAACACTCAGTACTTGCTCTGAGCTGCTGACTGCGAAGCACTTGACACTTACTGTTCATTCTCACCTATCCTGTGAGACAGGCAGGACCTTCCACTTCACAGATGTGGAAACCGAGGCTCACAAAGAACCAATAGCCTGCCCCATCACAAGGAGCTGAAAAGAAAACCCAAGTCTCCTTACGCCAAGTCCTGTGCTCCCCGGCTGCCTCTTGTGTTCTGACTTCATGATAGTAGACTGCATAGATGAACTTCATGGCATACTTTCTCCAAGAACTGGCTCTTCACAGAAACTTTGGCATCATCTGATTGAGTATCATACTCAAGTGCAGCAAGAATTTGCACATCAAGCCTCTGGCTTAAACCTGCTTCATGAACTTCTTTATCCCAAAAGACATGTTCCCAGGGGCCCGGGCAAAGTCTCCAGGAGCCTGATCCTCTTCTTCAGCCTTGCCCACGTTCTTAGCTTCCTGTTAGAGACCCAGCAGTCCAGGGCTACCCAAGGCTGGGCTCCCATTGATTCACTTAAGCGAGTCCAGCATCCCAAACACCTGTGTGAAACGTGCCCTGTCCAGGATGCGTCCATAGCGCAGGGTGAGGTAGAAGGACTGCTTCCCACTATATTGCTGGATCTGCACGAACAGCTCCCGAGGCTGATCCTTGGTTTCTGTCAAGGGTATCACATCTGCCACGGGACAGTATGTGTCCTGTCGCCAGCCCCAGAAGGTCAGGTGAGCCACCCGCAGCATGGTGCCAGACTCATTCACATACAGGATGCCCACCAGCCTCCGGAAGAAATAGCTCATCCAGCACAGCATGGCCAGGGCAAAGCCAGAGACCCCACTCATGAGACACAAGGAGTTGAGAGTGATGAGGCCCTGGGAGTACCAGTAGATACCTGGTGGCAAGGCCACCACTGTCAGGGCAGTCTGTGCCACCTTCAGCCGGGACAAATACCCAAAGGCTCTGATGGCATCAAAACGGTAGACCATCTGAAATTTCTCTGTCTCTGTGCTTGGTGGATTACCCTTCGAGGTGAGCCACGTGCTCCGCACCTCCCTCTTGGAATCCTCCTGCCCACTGCAGCACCATAGTCTGTGGAGAGGCCTACCCCACAGAGGTGGCTCTCGTGACCTCAGCACTGCTCGGAGGAGGGCTGCCTGGAAGGAAGACAAGACACCATTTCTCTCATGGAGCTCAATCATACTAATCACACAATGAGCACCTACAAAGCATGGTACACAAGGCTTCTGCCAATCCTGCAAGGTCGCCACTCTTGCCAGAGGGAAAAGGAAAGATGTTTTATCTCAAGTGAGCTTCACAAAAGCTACTCAAGGTAAGTACCAATAGTTCCACTTTACCATTAAGGACACTAAGCCCAGAAAGGGTAAGGAGTTTACCCAAGAACATACAGTCAAAAACTGGGGCAGAGTCTCACTCTCAAACTGGTCCCGCTATTTTCAGATGGTTCTATGTAAGAGTAAGAAAAGAGGTATGGCTTCATTTATTCAACAAATATCTAGGGAGGGCCAACTCTGGCCTGGACACTGGATCCACCAGACCATGTGAACATTTCCCAAACAGTAAGTGAAACCATCAATGTCCTAGCAGAGAACCCTAGCAACAAATCTATGAGCTATTTATTACAGTAACTTTCCAATGAGTTATCCTGAGTGCTGGAGGGAAATGCTGATTTTCTCTTAACCAATTTGAGGAAGGGAGAAGAGCAGAGAAGAGAAGGGAGGTGAGGAGGCCCCAACCCTTAGCACAGAAGTGGGGGGGGGGGTGTGTGTGGACAGGACGACCATGACGACGGTATGTAGAACAGTAGAAAAAGCTTTGGCCTTTGGAGCCTTATGTGGGTTGCAATTCTGGTTCCCCCCAGTCAATAGCTGTTGATCTTTGAGCAAATTACTCCATATCTCTGAGGCTGTTTCTTCAACTTCTTTTTTTTTTTTTTTTTTTTTTATAAGTTTTTTTTTTTTTTTTTTAGTACTTCTGTGTTCACAGAAAAACTGAGTAGAAGGTGCATAGATTTCCCATTTAGGCCCTGCACCCCTGTTTTTTCAACTTTTTTTTTTTTTTTTTTTTTTTTGATAAGTTTTTGCTATAGGGCATGTGTCCTCTCCAGAAAGACAGAGACAGAAAGGGACAAAAATAAAAAACCAGGAGGTATGGTCACGCCACAATCCCTTCTCCATCCTCCTCTGGGGATCTTGGGCATGCACACACACACACACACCCGGCATGAGTTTAAGCCACGGGGTCTGGGACTCAAACCACAGTAGACTACATGGGAGTCCAGTGACTTAGCCACTACACCAACTGCTGTACCCTGTTTCTTCAACTTTCAAAACGGATTCAGGGGGCTAGCCCATGACATGGTGGTTAAAGAAGCTGTATCCCACATGACCTGTGATGCAGTTCAAGTCCTTGACTTGACAGCTTGAAAACTCAGTGTCAGGCGCCTGCGCAAGCTGCTTGAAACCCCGAAAGGAGGGAGAAATGGAGACGGGATCCCCGCTTGACCATCCCCCATGGGGGGTGCTTTCTCACTTTCTCTCGGCACCCTGTAGGGAATTAAAAAGACTAAAAACTAAAACTAAACAAAACAGCGACTCGACATACTGAACGAGAGGGTGGTTTTAAAGCCCTGGCCCGAGCACCTGACGCACTGCGAGGGCTCACGGAGTTGTACCCCAAGACGGCGGAGGGGGCCGGGGCACAGCGAACCGCCGCCCTCGCAGGAGCTCCCCTGCGCCGTCTCTCCCGGCCACAAACCCGGCGCCCTGCCTGCCTGGTCAGCCCCGCCCCCCACCCCAAACCGCGTCGCCTCCCTCAACGCCCACCGCCCGCCTCCTTACCATGGCCCCGCCACGCGCCGCCGGAAGTAAATCCCGCCTGGCCCGGAACCTCTGAGAGCGCATGCTCGGCGTGCGGGGTGGGGCAGCGGGGTGCGCGTGGCATTCTGGGAGCTGGGGTCCGGGGACGGCGGCTGACGCTAGTGCCGAACCCTGCGGAGCGCTGAGATTGCCTCTTCCCGACGTGCCCCGCGGCGCAGGGCTGAACCCGGAAGTTCCGGGCCGAGGTCCCTGTGCCAACGAGTCCTATCAGGGGAGGACGCAGTGGAGACATGGCGGTGCCCGGCCCAGCCGTCTGCCTCTTCGACGTGGATGGGACCCTGACGGCCCCGCGGCAGGTAGGGGGCACCCGCGGCAGGTAGGCGGCACCTGGCGGGCTGGCGGCTGCAGACGCGGAGCCCCTGCTGCTCCCGGCCGGGGCCGACTACCACCCCGGAGGTCCTACCTCCTCCTAGGCCTGAACCAAATCTGGTGCCCTGGAGGAATGAGATGGAAGCCCCGAGCAGCTCTCCAGGACCTCAGGGTGCTCAGAGAGATGAGGCGGGTCCAGAAAGCCTTAAGAGCAGGAAACGTGTTGCGTTGGAAAACGCACTTCTGGACTCTTCACCGTAAGCACTGAAAACTGATTGACCTGGACTAGAACCCCAGCCCAGGCACCCAGACCAGCTCTGTGATTGCCTCAGTCCTGTCACCTACTGGCTGTGCCATGTACCATGATGTTCAGATCATAGATTTCCAGGCCAGACCGACCAAGGAGAATCTCAGCTTCATGTCTTGGCAGCCGAGTGACCTTGAGCAAGTCAGTTAACCTCTCTGAGCATCAGCGTCTACAGCTTTAAAGGGGACATTACCCATTCCATATGGTGTTTGCAAGGATCAGATGAAATCATGAAAGTATTTGGCACACATTAGGCCTCAATGACTATTAGCCACCCCCATCCCTCTCTGCCCCAGCCAGCGAGCTGGGATGATAGCAGAGTCTAGATCACTAAAGAATGCCTGCTGAGAGCCCAGGGCTCTCAGAAACTTTCTTCCCGCTCCTGCATTTTGCTGCTGCAAAGAAGGATAAGCTTCAGTTAAAACCAGCTTTTGCAATGAAACTCTCCCTGCCACACCTGCCCAAGTCATTCACTGAACACCAGTCGTTTATTCTTGAGACTGGACCCAAATGGCCTCACCATCCTCAAATTCTCCTCCCACGTGTGGCTGGGTGGTAGCAGTGGTGTTTCCAGAAGTCCACATCAACTGCGTGTGACTTTCAACATCATTTTATCCTTCTGAGCCAAAGTTTAATCCATCTAGAGATGACAGTCAACTCCAGCCTCTCCAGAGGCCCTTTCTGATTTTGGAGAAAAACACATACTTATGTTAAAACCCCCTAGTGGACTACAGCCAAGATCAGCAATTCTTTTTTTTTTTTTTTGAGAGGTTTTTGCTATAAGGCGCGTGCACTCGCCAGAGACAGAGAGACAGAAAGCGAGAAATCACCCCCCCAGCAATTCATTTTTTAGAAAGGCACCTGTAAATATTTTTTTCTTTATAGACTGTATGGTCTGTAGTAACTACTCATCTTCCATCCAGAAGCAGCCATAGATCTATGTAACACTGGCAATGTTTGAATAGAACTTTATGTATTTGCTACAAAAACAACTGCTTAGTTTGGCCCATGGTCTGATGGTCTAAGATTTACATTTGCAAACCTTTTTATATGGTATTGAACTGTCTTAACCTTCCTCCACCTTTCATTCCAGGTAGGGGGTAGTTATTACTATTTTAAGCATAAAGACACTGAGACTCGGTGAAGTCTTGACCCCCTCAGTTTCACACAGCAGACCCAGTATAAGTCTCAGAGCTTCATAGCATTGTTACTTATCAAGTTTGACACTTCCTCCCATCATGCTAAAGTATGGAAGCTGTTCTTTTTGCTCAGTATGTTATTCAGGAAAGTGAGTTCCAGAAAGAATTGGGATATTTTGGGACCAGCAGTTAGCGTAATGGCTATGTCGCTGGACTCCCACATAGTCAACTGTGGTTCACGTCCCAGACCCGGTGACTTAAAAACTCACACCGGGCGTGTGTGCGTGCGTGCCCAAGATCCCGAGAGGAGAATGGTGGAGAAGGGATTGCGGCTTAAAAACTCACACCCGGAGGGAACCAGCAGTTAGCGTAATGGCTATGTCACTGGACTCCCACATAGTCGACTGCGGTTCGCGTCCCAGACCCGGTGGCTTAAAACTCATGCTGGGCGTGTGTGCGTGCGTGCCCAAGATCCCGAGAAGAGAATGAAGGAGAAGGGATTGCGGCGTGACCATCCTCCCTGGGGGGTGATTTCTCGCTTTCTGTCTCTATGTCTCTTTCTCTCTCTGTCTGTCTGGCGAGCGCACGCACCCTATAGCGAAAACTCTGTCTGGCGAGCGCACGCCCCCTATAGCGGAAACCCTCTAAAAAAAAAAAAATATACCATTGGAGGGACCAGCAGTTAGTGTGATGGCTATGTCGCTGGACTCCCACATAGTCGACCGCACTTCATGTCCCAGACCCAGTGACTTAAAACTCACACTGGGCGCATGTGTGCGTGCCCAAGATCCTGAGAGGAGAACGGAGGAGAAGGAATTGCACTGTGGCCATCCCCCCTGGGGGGTGATTTCTCGCTTTCTGTCTCTCTGTCTCTGTCTGTTTGGCGAGTGCATGCACCCTATAGCAAAAACCTCTCCAAGAGAAAAAAAAAAAGAATTGGGATATTTTAGCATAAAGTATTACATAACACAAAAACTGGGCAACCTAGAATGCATTTCCTTGAATTCTTTGAAATGTAATATTGTTTATAATGAACATAAAGAATTTTAATACACCTCAAAAAAATAAAATCTGTAATTTAAAAGAGAGTACTAGGTATTCTAGGTAAGACAAAGATATTTTACCAACAGATTTATACATTTTACAGCCTTTCCCTTCCTCAGTATATGTGCTTCTCAAACATTGATTAGCACAATCTAATCTGGAAGCAAAAAAAAAAAAAAAAAGATCTTTTCTAACAGTTGCTGAAACAAGATATGATCTAAATAGCTAAAAATCTAATTAACATGGACTCCAGAGATTTGCATATTTTATTATTTTAGTAGAAGTTTATTAAGCTATTTTCCTAAAATGCTAAACAGTTGGGACTTAGAACAAAACTCAGTAAAAAGAAGAGGACACAAACCTAGATGAATCTAGTTTCCTAATACTGCATTATGAAAAATTCCAAACACACAAAAGCATTGAAAAATAATACACAGAACACCCATGTATGCCCACCACTTAGATTCAAAATGGTGGGTATTTTGTCATATGGACTTTATCTCTGTTTTTCTTTGGCTGAATAACTTCCTAAGCTGCAGTTTTATTTATTTTAGCCTGCATCTCTTGAGGACAAGGACACCCTGGTTCATATTTACCATTCTTAAGGAAATTATCACTGATTTCCTGATATTTCCTACTGTAATCCAGGGGTTGGCAAGCTTTCTTCTATAAAAAGCCATATAGTAAATATTCGAGCCTTCCTGGGCCATGTGGTCTCTGTCACAGCTACTCAACTCTTGTAACACAAAGGCAGCTATAGACATTATGTCCACACGTGGCCATGGCTGTGTTCCAGTAACACTTCATGGAAACAGGCTTTGGGCCTGGTTATGACCCTCAGGTCCTCCTTGGCTCACTCCTCTGATCCATAGTAACAGTTCCTTAATGGTCCCCCTAAACATCTTTTAGAGTAGTTTTTCCAGGAAGTGAATTTTTTAACTTTTCCACCTCGATTTCAAGTTTTTGCATTTGTCTCTGTGTTTTATTTTATCTGGGATCTGTAAGGGATTCCTTGTAATTATCAGCACGGGTTATTTGGGAACAATTTTGCTATGCAGTTACTTTGCTCTAAATATTGCCACTACAGAAGGACATTGCTTAGATGCTCTGTGTGGGTACAATATCTGGGTCTTATTCCTGGTAGGGGAAAAAAAATGCTGCCACTTGGAAGCAGAAAGTTGCCGTCTGGCCCATTCTTGTGATGGAACAAATATGTCATAGCCACCAACCACAGCACCATTTAGTTCATCCGTGTGCATAAGGATTAAGATGTAGTAAATTGTGCCTTTAGGCTTCCATTTGAAGCTGCTACTGGTGTTGTCAGTATTTTGTTTTTAATATTTTGCAATCAAAGGAGTCCTTCCCACTTCCTCAGATTCTGATGTCAGATCTGAGCAAACCACTTGGGAACACTGACCAGTTTTCACAGTGCTCACTGACTGAGGTCACTAGTGCAGTTCATTTATCTAATTGGCCAAGATTCCACTTCAGAGGTAGGAAAGGTTACACTCCAGGGTAAGTCCTTTACCACAGTGCTGTCTTATTAATCGCATGCATGTGTTACTCTTTAATCTTCTTTAAAGAAAAGGATTGAACTCCATACATCTATATATTGAGGTTGAGCTAAATGTGATTTTTAAAAATTCCTAGTATGCTTTTTCTGTAAAGATATGCAATGTAAGCATACAATTAAGATGGTTAAAAATAATAAATTAAGGTTTTAAAATGTTTTGTGATATGTCTTAATATAGAGAACTCTTTTCATCTTATCTCACACAATTGGAATTTAATTAGCATAAAATGATACCATTAAAACCACTGTTTAGGGGCCTTTAGGTGACTTGGTGGTTAAGGGCACAGGACTCCCACGTGGCCCCCTGCCGTTCTAGTCTCAGACCTGGAGTCTTGCTTTCTCTGATTCTCTTTCTCTCTCATTCTATCCCTCTCTGGTCAAATTAAAATAAATAAATTAATTAAATTAAATAATTCTTTTAAAAAACACTTTATAGTAAGGAGCTTTTCTTTTAGGAGAGACAAGAAATCTAGTATGTTTTTGCTTTTATTAATCTCGGGCTTTGGGGGAAGGGTACGTGTAATTATAATAAATCAGTTCTGAATTTCCTCTTTAGTCTCATGATATTGTTAGGTTTTAAAATAAATCTAAAAATGGAATACAGTGTAGCATTTGGGAGAGTGCAATAGATCCATACATTGGCATGGAAAGATCACCACAGGGTAGTGCTAGGAAAGCACCACACTGCAGAGAATCTTCTGTTGTGTTTCAAAAGTAAAAACTCTTAGTATATGTGCAAATAAACAGGTATATAAATACATAGAAAAATAACAGTATACCGTAGCTGCTAATATATTACTTGTGTATTCAAAATTTGGTTAAAAAAAAAAAAAGTAAAATTTGAGCCAGCAAGGCAGCATGGAGGTTAGGGTAGTTAGATCCCGCATGGCCAGCTTACAGTTCGAGTCCCAGACCCAACAGCTTCAAAAACACCAGGCGTGTATGTAGGTGCCCAAAACCCTGAGAGGAGATGGAAGAGGAGAAATTGCGATGTGGCCACCTCCCCTAGCAGGTGCTTTTCACTTCCTCTGTCTCCAGCAACTGCATGTACCCTATAGCAAAAATTTTCTTAAATAATAAAATTTTACAGGTTTGCTCTTAGAAAAGTTAATGCCCAAACGTTACAGCTAAAATATTTGAACTTATCTAGACACCTGGTAACTAAACTGGCATGTATGCAAATAAAGGTTGTATTACTCTTGCAATTTAGTCTCCTGATTATTTTGTGGCTCTTAACTATTGTATTTTTCTTCTTATAATGTAGAAAATTACCAAAGAAATGGATGACTTTCTACAAAAATTGAGGCAGAAGATCAAAATTGGAGTGGTAGGCGGGTCGGACTTTGAGAAAGTACAGGAACAACTGGGAAATGATGGTAAATGATGCAATGCTGATTATGTTTTGGTCAAAGATTAACTTATGAGGATATTGGGACCGGAAGCCAAATACCATAGGTAGCCCCACTCCCTAAGCCCTATACGGCTAGCTTTCTGCTACCTTGTATGGGGAAACATTTTCTCTGCCTTTGTTTTGTCTCTGCTTTTAATCATGTAAGCATATTTCTGGAATTGCCAATGGAGCACATGGTAGGTGCTCTGCTGTGTGGGCAGATTCCCTTAGCAGGGCAACAGGGTGAGCGTCCATGTCTTTGCACATGGTCTCTTTCTCTTGAGTCCTAATGTCTCTACTCACTACCTTCTAGACTTGCCTCAGACCCATCTACTGGCTGTCCTCACCCAGGTGTGGAGGTGCCCTCTGTGTTTAGGTATCTCCTCCCTATTGGCCTAACACAACTCTTCCCAGAGTTGCCTAATCATGAGTCTCCCAGGCTCTTCCTTGCCCCTACCCCCCAAAAAACAGAATCTCCAGCACAAGATCCCAGGAAGCTGCAAAGTATTACTGACCCTTTCACTGGAGATTTTGATTTGATAGGCCTATGGGACCTGGGAATTGCATTTCAACAAGTCTCCCCAAGAGGTACTGGTGCACAGCCTTGCTAATGTAGCATTCTAATTATTGGGAACTGTCTGGTCATATCTCTGTCTTCAAAACCAGGACTATGGGTTATTCACACCTTAGCTCCAGAGACTGTGGGGTACCTGGCATATAAGAAATAGTGGGAAGAGCAGCAGATGGTGTAGGGGTTCCAGTGGTGGACTCCCACATGGCTGACTGCAGTTCACCTTCTCATATTCAGTGGCTTGAAACAACACTGTGCCCAAAATCCCAGGAGGGGATTGGAGAAGGAATTGTGGCGTGGCCATCCCTGGGGGTGATTCCTCATTTTCCCTTTTACTGTCTCTCTCCTCTCTGGTGAGCATGTGTGCCATCTGGCAAAAACCTTACAAAAAAAAAAAAGGTAGGGAAGAAATAGTGGGTGGAGAAATAGATGAATTGATCATTCGTATAACCCTGTTGTCCGAGAGTCCCCATATGTTAGAACCAGCTCCTCTAGTCCTCTAGAGTAAGATTTCTCAACCGGAGCTCTTGACATTTTTTTTTTTTTTTTGAGAGATTTTCACTGTAGGGCGCATGCGCTCGCCAGACAGACAGAGAGAGACATAGAGACAGAACGCGAGAAATCACCCCCCAGGGGGGATGGTCACGCCGCAATCCCTTCTCCTCCATTCTCCTCTCGGGATCTTGGGCACGCACGCACACGCGCCCGGCGTGAGTTTTTTAAGCCACCGGGTCCGGGACACGAACCGCGGTCGACTACGTGGGAGTCCAGCGACATAGCCATTACGCTAACTGCTGGTTCCCCGGAGCTCTTGACATTTTGAACCAGATAATTCTCTGTTGGGGGCCACCTTGTGTGTTGTAGGGCATTTAGCAGTATCCCTGGTCTTTATTCAGTAGAGGCCAGCAGTGTATACACACACACACACACACACAGAGTTGTGACAACAAGAAATGTCTCTAGACATTGCTAAATGTCCTAGGGGGGAAAATCACCCCAACTGAGAACTACTGTCCTAGATATAGTATCCTACAGTGCAGATCTGTATAGGCTACTTACTGTATCACCACTAGAAGAATAGTCTACAACCCTTTTAAATTTGCTATTGCACATGTCCTTAATATTGTGAGTATTCTGTTTAAAAATGCTGTAAAGAACAACAAAATCGGAATATTCATATACTAGAAGAAAGATGGAGGCCTACCTATATGAGAATCATCTGAGAAGCTTATTGAAGCACACATGTGGGCCCCCACCCAACACACAGTGATGCTGTCGGGCACCTGGCCTGTTAATCCACATTGTAACAAGTGCCTGAAGTTTGAGAATCCCTTCATTATGGCGTATGTGGCTGATCTCCAAATATGACTGATCATTAAGAATCATCTAAAGAGCTTTTTCAAAAGAAATCTATGTTAGCCTGTCTCCTGGAGGTTGATTCAGAAACCATGAGAGCAAAGCTTGGAAACCACATCTTCACGTGCTGCCCCGGTGCTCCTGGTTCATGGCAATGTTTAGAGCCGTCATGGGCCATGAAACTACCTGTGACCAAATCTCCTGTCCCTGCCGTCATCATCCTTTACATTTGTAGCTAACAGAGCCTTTTTTGTGAAGGAGCTTTTTCCCACTTTCCGAGTCTATTAAGATGAATCATCTTCCACAGTTTTTACTGGAGTTTAGTAGTCTTACTGATGGTGAAGTGTTAATCAAGAAGTATTGTAGAAACCAGGTTTTGATTAATTGACTTCTGCATTTTCATTTTGTTTGTAGTGGTTGAGAAATACGATTACGTGTTTCCAGAAAATGGCTTGGTAGCATACAAAGATGGGAAATTCCTGAGTAAACAGGTAGGTTCTTGAGAATCCAAACTACTATATGTTACTGCTGAGATGTTTTCTAAAGGGTATTTGACATTGAATGCCTCTGGGGAAGTACCCTGGGAACCCAAGGAACAGTGTACTTCATTCTGTATTCTTTTTTAAAGTTCGAATTTTGAACCATGTTATTATTATGTAATCCAGGTTTATAACTAATTTTTTTTCCTGCTACAGGGCACGTGCACTTGCCAGAGACAGAGAAAGAGTAATTCCCCTGTGGGGAATGGTCATGCTGCAGTCCCACATTCTCCATCTCTCCCTCCTGGGGTTTTGGGCATGCATGCTGTAGTTTGGGACGCAAACTGTGCTGTCAGCCATGTGGGATCTGGCTGCCTCTACCAGGCCACAGAGCCACCCAGTAACTAAATTTTTTTAAAAATTGCCAGAGAGTGCTTGTGCTCTCCAGAGAAAGCACCCCTCAGTGGGATGTGGTCACACCACAGTTCTTTTTCCTCCATCTCTCCACCCTGCTAAGATTTGGGTCATGAATGAACATGCACCTGGCATGGTTTTCAAGCTACCAGAGTTGGGATTTGAACCACGATCAACCATGTCAGATCTGGCTTCCTATGCATAACTTTACCTTTGTGCTATGGGGCCAGTCCCAATAACTATAATACTTTTTTTAAATTACTTTTTATTTAACTTTATTTATTTTACATTAACTAGGGAGAAACAGACTGAGGGGGAGAGAGTGAGAAAGCAAGCCGCCAGGTCCAGGACTCAAACCCTGGTCGGCCATGTGGGAGCCAAGTGCCCTTAACCACCACACCATCTGCTGGCCCTATAATACTGTTTTTTAAGGGTACATAAATATAGTATTTCTGTGATGATAGCAGAAATTAGGACTTGTTAAAAATAAATTTACACAAAGTAAAATTTAATGGTTATTTAAATAAAGGGCGGACTTAAATTGATAGTCTATTAAGGAAAACTTTTCTGGCCTAAAATGGCCCCTGTACTTCCACATTTAGATCTCTCTAGGAATGCCAAAATTGTACCTGTTAGGCTGTTTATTTTCTCCAGGCTGGTTACTGGGTTACAGCCAATCACACTAGTCACATTTCAGTCAATCACAGAAAGCCCACCTTTTGGGCTGTTTGTACAGCCTACTTCCACCTGTAACCAGTGCTCTCTGCCTCACTCCCTCACTTACACTTTTATACAACACCCTTCCTCTTCACAGCACACGTCACTTTCCCGTTCCTCCCAGACATTTTTCCTACAGACCACTTGGCTCGCTGTAGTCTCAGAAGACATCTTCCAGGAGGCTGCCCAGTTTAAATAGCCCGTTCTTTGTTTAAATAAACTGTTAAATTTTAGTTTGTCTTTAACAGACTGTAAGCATTTTTTTAAAGGTATTACTTAGCTCTCAGTAATAGTGAAATCTTTTTGTTCACACCTAAGAAAAAAAAGCCAGACAAATATATTTTCTATCATTGTCTGTAGATATTTTAATTAAATAAAAGCCGGAGTGATAAATTCTCTAGGCCTTCCAAGAAGCATTTGAAGACAGTGAATACAAAAATTTTGAGTAATGAAGCAGAAAATGCTTTTGACTAAAGCATTTCTGGTTTGCCTAATGTTTTCCACCAGAAAAAACGAGAAAGAACTAAAAAGACAGTGAGGCGTGTCACCGTGTCACAGCTACGTCAGCCCAGTGATTTGTGAACAATGGTGGCTGAAGACCAGAGTTGCTGTAAAGCCATTTGGAAAATGCCTCCTGCTGA